AAGGACACGTGAAGATCGTCATTTAAAATTTCGGACTGATCTACATTTTTGATGAGTATAAATGGTTTGCACCATATCGATTACGTAACTCGATATATCGATTGTACCCTAGCCATGGCAAAAAAAAGGGTCGATGTTTGTGTATGTCCGGCAAATTCTACGATAATATAGGTTATTGTTAAAGGTTAATTTAAAGGTTAGGATTAGGGTTAGAGCTGGAGTCAAGCTTATATGTAAAATTGTCTTCCCTACTCTTTTTTTTAGTGTACCAAGCTGGATTTAGGCATTTATTTCTCGTATTTTTTACTTTTTTTGCTTTTTTATTTTCTTGCGCCGGATTTGTTTTGCCGGGCTGATCAAAAATTTATTGGTTTGTGCCACAATCAGCACGTGATACGACCTTTTTATTTTGCCATGGCTAGGGTACTTATATAACAGCTAAAGTCATCAAACGTTTGTATTTTATAAAATGTATAAACTTCTTTACTATACAAGAAGTAAATGTAAATTATAATCCATGAATATGATAGAATAGATCCTTTCTGAGTATATTCACAAATTAAATTTTGTATTTACTTCTTAGTAAAGAAGTTAATACATTTTATAAAATACATGTACAAATGTTTGATAAATAGTATATATTTATATAATAATAAAATATAATTGAATTAATATAGATTTAAAATAATTTATATAATATTATATATATATATTACAGTTTGATAAACTCTAATATAGAATTTACAATAATAGAATATCAAAAAAATGAAGTATTTCAAAAAAGCAAGTGATATTTTATATTTTTTATGAAAATTATTATTGATAGTATTATTTTAATTTGTTCTTTACAATTTTTATTTTATATATAATATATAATATATAATATACAATATATAATATACAATATATAATATATAAAGCTTTTATATAATTTTTTAAATTATTAACTTAGTGAATTTTTGAAATATTATACATCTTTACAATATATTATTAGAAATTTAAAAAATAATTTTGTCACTTTGGAATCTAATATTTTAATATCTGATAACTCCATTCAAATAAAAAAATTACTATTAGATTTGTCTCAATTATACAAATTTAATAGTAATACTTTTGTTCAAATAAGATTAAGATATCAGATTTCAAAATGACAAACTTATTTTAAAATTTCTGGTAATTTACTATAAGAATATGAGTTAAATTAATATTTTTCACAATTAATTTTATATAAACTTTATTTAAATTAAAATATTTATAATGATTTTTAAAATTAAAAATACTTATTGAAATTTTAAAATTAAAAATTTTTTATATTATAATAACCTAGCAAAATATTATAATACAAAAATTAATAAAAAACAAGATATATTATTCTAAACTAATAAATTTACTAAATTATAATATATATTATTATATCAAAATTTCAAGTGATTTTAATAGTTAATTCAAAAATATATATAAAATATAAAAGATAAAATTTAATAAAAATTATAAATTATATTAATGATATTTAATATTATACTAAAAATAAGACCACAATTAATTGTAACTTAATTGCAATTCTCTGATTGGTTATTATAATTAAATTGCAATTCTTTAATTGATTATTACAAATTACAATTAATTAAAATGTCATCTTTATTTAATATTACAAAAATATTAAAAATTTATTAGTCTGAATTAAAATTTGAAATAAGATTAATTAAATTAAAATTCTACAAAAATAATTTTTGTTAAAATTTCAAAATACAGATTATTTTCAAAAATTCTTTTTTATTTTGTTTTGATTTGAATTTTTTATATATTAATTTTATGATTTTATTGATTAAATATTTTGATTTTATAATTTAATTGATTAATTTAATACTGATATCAGTACTAACTAGAACAAGTACATGATGTTTATTTGTTATCTGTTACAATACATTGCAACTCCAAAATTTTATAAGCTGCAACTAGTTATAACTAGATAATACTTTATTCGTCATTATGTTGCAACAATTGCTATGTCATCTTTAGTACTAGAAATATAATTTATCAATGTCAAACTTTATATTTAACCAAAATTTATATGAAAAATATTTTAGTTTATAAAAATATAAATATATTTATATTTAGTAAACTAAATTAAATATTTATATCATCAAATTCACTAAGTTAAGATATATTTAATAATATCAAATTATTTAATTTAATTTACTAAATGTCAAAATATTATATTTCAAAGATAATATTCAAAATTAGAATAAAATTTTTGAACAAAATAGTTTTTTGCAAATATCTTTATATTTAATAAATCAAATTGGATAATTTTGATATCATTAGAGTGATAATATTTACAAAAATAATTTTCTTCAAATAATTTCTTTTGAGACATGACATTTTTGTATCTAGTAAACAAAATTGGATGATTTTGATATCATTAAGTGAATCTTGTCTTGGTAAATCTATCATAATAGTGCATAAACCTAAAGTCATCAAATATTTATTTTTTATAAATTCTTTACTAAAAAGTAATTGCAAAATTTAATCTGCAATTATAATACAATAGTTCTTTTTTGAGCATATTCATGAATTAAATTTTGTAATAAAAAAGTTTATGCATTTTATAAAATGCAAATGTTTGATAACTTTAAATTTTATGCAAAACAAATGATACTAAATTATATAAGTTATTTAAAAACATGTAAATATGTATTATATCTTATTTGAAAATGAAAGAAATCAAATAAATAATATGAAATTTTATTTTTTAGCTAATAATAAAAAATCTTCTAGTATTATTATTAATTGAAGTTGTTTTTTACAAAAAAACAAAATATATTTGATTTTTTATTAATTGAAAATTCTAAGATGAACTGAAAAGAAGCAGGAATTTAAAGCAAAAAATAAGATCAGTTTTTTAGGGGGTTGCTTATTCACGGGATTTTCTGAATACTTAAATTATTCACTGCGCATATACATGTAGATATCTATTACAGGTTTCGATCGCGTCGCTAATTTGGTAATTCTGATCATTATGAATGTGACGAAGTATAGTTACATTTCTTCTGAGGATTAGAATTATATGAATAAATATATAATAATTTTTTTATTTTAGTATATAAAAAGGGGTTGCTTATTCAACTTTTCTAAAACTTTTGAACCTAAAGAGAGGGGTTGCTTATTCACGGGACTTTACGGTATTATACGATTTCATTTTTGCCTCTGTAAAAAAACGATATCTCGTGAATTATTTTACCAAATCTTGACTAAAATCTGATAACCATTTAGTATGTTAAGACTAGACATTATGGCCACTTTCTCGTTTAAAGTTCACGAACGATATTTTGGAAATTTAGATTGTTTATCGTTATAGTGATATTTTCAATGACCGGTAGGTGTAAAAGATACGTACGTATATCGATATACATGTAATTATTGTGAGTTTAAATCCGAGAAAATATTTGAAGCGAGTTCGTTTTCGTTTCGAGCACTCTATTTCTTCTTTATATTTCGAGGTTTTGACGAAGGTAATTATTTTCCGCTAACAAATATTCTAGTTTCTTTGAATTAAAAATTAGACAAGGGCGAATCGAATGTGTTTTAGATATGAAGAAAGTTAAATGACGAATACCTTTAAAGCATTCTCCGCAAAATTTTTCAGATCATTCATTTCAAGATACTTCTGTTGCTCGTCTTCATTTAGTACCTCTTTATAAACTTTCTCGTTTAATTCCTCTTTCAAGATTTCGATTTCTTGATTTGAAATACCAAAAAACCCAGAAGGGTTGTTGACGTCAATCGTCTTTGTTGCTTGTCGAAGCCCTCATTGCCAACAAAGTTTGGTAAGTCACAGAAAGGAGAAGTATTCTCGCAGTGAGAATAGGTAAAGTGATTATATATTTCTTCGATTATTACAGCTTTGAAGATGCATCCTGACCAAGGGCAAGGTAAATTTTGAGAATTAACGTGTTCTTGAGTAATTCCAGAATACATAATTGCTTGTTTATGTTATATCGATTAAATAAGCTATATCTGTATTACAATTCGAAGTTAAGCCTTTTTAGACCTCCTAATTATTTATTAACAATAGAAATAATGACGCGATGAGATCCTATTTAATGCGACAAAAAAGAAGTTAATGCAGATGATTGATTATACTGCAATTCAAATACTGTACGTAATCGCGCGTTAGTTTCAAAATAATAAGACGCGCATTTTACCAAGCATGACATCAAAACACCAAAAATTTGCGAAATTTTAAATTCATATTTATTTGGTAAAGCAGACCTGTCAAAACCATAAAAATAAAATTATCCTGCATAATAATAATAATTTTAAATCATATTTTTTTTTAGTTCGTTAGCCAAAAGAATAGGTACTGGGATACTGGGATAAGATGATAGTAATTTGAAGAATATTAGGGGATTAAGTGGATTATTTACAATTTATATACAGAGATTAATGCTAAGAAATTTAAAAAATGTCTAAAAGAAAGAGCTACAAAAGTTCTCCATACGGGTTCGTTTTATTACGATCAGAAGGGTTCTCAAGTTTTGCGTTACTGTTTTTGTTAAAGGAAACGGTTTTTAGGTTCGATACGATAACCATAATTTATACTTCGAAAGAGTTTTATGTGTTTGTGTGTTGCTGCCGTCAGAGCGGCAAATTACGTTAAATTCGATTTGTTGCTACATTCATACTAATTATGTCGAGAAAAAAAAGAAATTCATGGCTTATTAGTTTAAGAAAAAACATTTTGACCTTGATCGATTAACTTGACTTACTTAATCTTTCGGTTTGCCGGCCAGCAAATCGATCCGATTGAGATTTCATAATTTGTTATTGCTACATATGTGGAAATAAGTAAGCATATTTTTTTTTTGCGAATGACTCAAGATTATATCTCATCATAAAGGTGAGCACAAGGTGCTAAAGAAATTCACAGACCCGCTCCAACTGGGGGTATTTAAACTTTTCAAGAATTGTGACCCATCGAAAAATCGTCATAATGCAACACGAAAACGTTCATTCGTCTCTGTTGGTGTTATGTTCTTTGCGCCAATCATCGTAGAATTCTTTGTTTGGCAAAAATTCTACGTACTTATAATGTTTCGCTACTCCCTAAACACATTATCAAATGTTAATTTGTAATTGCCCGCTTTAACCAATGCACTAAAATGAAATCCTTACATAGTCCCAAATCTTTCTTCTGTTATTTGCTATCGACACATCTTGAGTTTTAAATATATACGCATGCACACATACGAAAAAACCGGAATTCAAACACAGCGATAGTTTGACAGAAATAGTCACGCATTCTCCGTGCTACTGTCGGAAACCCCGAAGTTACTGCAATCCTGACCCTTGGATTCACTTCAAAGAAACATGTATTTGTTGTTGTCGAAATTACATCTATTTGTTTCAATGCATGTAACTGTATACGTTTTATTTGGATCATGCAGATTAATTCTAATTTTCGATTGATGTTATAGAGGTTTGTCATCACATAATTTTAAATTCCACAACTTGTTTATAATAGTATCCAGCCTTTTTGAGCAGTGTTCCTTTTTAGCATACAATTCAACAAACAACCAAAATTACAAGCTTACTAACGCTAAAGCCGATAAAGAAACTTTCCCGTTACAGAATCAAAACTTTAATTTAAAAGAAGGTTTGATTTATCCGGTTTTTCAGATTGCGAGATGTCCGATCCGTGAATGAATTCATTATTCATGGCATCAAGAGTTTTTTTGTAATCAAGTTTGCAAAAATCGTAATTTGTACAGATTAATACTATTAATTATTATTGTCTTTGTTCCATATATTTGTTAATTTCAAATACAATTCTAGAATCTGAAATTGGGTTTGGTTGTAAACTAGATCAATTGTCTAGATTTCATTGTTTTAAAAATTTCGAAAATAAAGTATGTACGTATTTAACGTTAAGAATCCATTTCAGTTACGGCGAGATATTCAATACGTAGATTGCAATCTAGAACTTAAAAAATTTTAAGGCATGTACAACAATTTTGTGTCTTTGTTTCACTTAGATTATTTTGAGTACAGAGATAAAATTATGTATTTACACACACACATGAATACAAAAAGTACCCCCCCTCCATAGTCACCTCTCTTGGGAAAGTCAGGTATGTTTATTTATAGTTATTTATAGATAGGGTTAGGATAAATCAGTCATAGTGAGAGTAGTTTTTTTATCCTGAATTTGTAATAACACAAAGATAGATCATTAAAAGTTAACTTTTGCCACCAAACCATCCATTATTATTATTGTTATTATTATTTCGTCTCACAAAAAAATTAGTAGCACTCATTGCAACTCTGCCCACCGAAATGGCAAAAGTTGTCATGAAACTAGCCATAATAGCAAATATGAAAAACGGAGTTATTACTAGAGACGCCGAACCTATAATAAATCCGTTTGTTACAACAAACATTGTGACTCCTATTTATAGAAAAATATGTGATAAATAAAGTGTAAACATCAAATTCACACAATTTACTCTTACCAATAAATGCCGTAATCAAAAACCCGCCAACAGACCAAACCAAGAACCACAAAAGCGGCAAACTATACCAAAACGCAAACGACAATAAATAGTCGCTCAATAACTGATGACCTCTTAAGAATTCGTGAATTACATCGCCTCGAGTTTGTAACCAGTCAGGTGTATGGAGTCGATAATGGAGGACCAAGAATTCGCAGGTGGTGTGAAAGTATGGTATTAAATAGTTGTTGATGCTCTGTTGAATCGCAATAAGATCAAAATCCATAGGAAATGGCATGGGATTAGTGGGGGACGCATGCGGAGATTTATCATTATTGTTTTTTGTGGACATTTCTTTTGTTTTTTTCTTTATTTGATTCTTTATAATTTGTTAGAGTGAAGGACTCTACAAAAATATTTATAGTATACGAATTAGCCTGACAATAGAATTTATTTCCATCATCTTTTGGAATATTGATCTAAATGATTCAAAAAATAATTTATTGTAATCAAATCATAATTAAAGAAGATTATATCGATATAAATTCCATCGTTTTACTAGCCAATACAATATTTTATTATAAAAATTATAATAGATTTAAAAGATTTAAAGATTAAAAAATACAATTAAAGATAAAAAGTAGATTCAAAAAAATACAAAGTTCAAAAAAATAAAGATTACTTTATAAAATAATACTGATAGTAGAAAAATATCAAGACTATTGTATTATTCTAGAAAGTGAACTAAACAAAAAGTTTTTTTCACATAAAGTACATAACCTGGAAATTACAAAGATCGCTGTTACAATAAATGGCATTGAGAAAAAATCAAATAAAGAAAATCCACGTAAAATACCTTTGCCAAATCGGGCTTCACATTCCCAAAAGAACTCGGAACTCCATTTGCTTCGGTAGAACTTCCTTCGGTCCAGCTGTCCAAACGAGCGTGATACCGTGCCCTAATAAGTAGTTTAGTAAAAAAAATCAAAGAGATGTTTGCAATAAATACCAAAGAAAAGAAATTGAATTAAATTTTCAAATACCTCCGACACAATAAATGTGAATACAATACAGGAGGTACCTTGGAAATTTCAATAGAAATTAGTTACAATTTTATGCTCTGAAATTGAACGAAAAATTCACGTACCAAAGAAACTGCTCGAGTGCACCGTGCATACACATAACAGAGATGGTACGTCAAGATTTGAAGACTATAATATAATAATAAAAATAAACAGTTTCACCAGACTATGTAAAATAGGTAATAATATCACATAACGATAAACACTAACTCATCAGGCTTAAACCGATTCTCGTCATGCAATACGTGATAATGCGTTGGGCGCGAAGCACCTTGTAATCCGGCATGGCTTTGAAGATCTACACAAAAATCATTTGAATTATACAGAACATAAACAGTACTGGACCAAAACAAAAAACTCACAAAAATCAAATTCGAACGGATGTATGATTGTTTGTTCGATTACTGTGCCTGGTAGACAATTGCCTGTACGATCCGACGAATTCCGGTCAACAGGGAAAAAACGAGTATGATGCCGTTTTTGAACAACAACAAATGTAATTGTTGGGCGATAGGATGCATCCAAGGAACGACAAGCAGCTTTTTTCATTTGCGAGAATAGAGAGGAAGGTTACTTTTATACATTAAAAATAAGATATTAGTATATAAAAGTTGCATACCTCGCACCGCTTTGATTTCATTTTCAAGAACGTGAGTAAACTGCCCTTCCGAAACGCCATCGCGGTAAAAGAGAATTCGTTCAGGTTTCCTACCGCAAGCTTGATAAAAATTCCTAAGCAATTCCTTGACCATATTAGCAAGATCCGCAATAATATCCGAGCGACCGGTCTGTACTCTTATAGACGCAGCATAACGAGAAATTTTGGCATCCATCGTAGCACAAAGCGATGCGATTGACGGGCGAGAAGCATCACCTGGAGACGAATGCGTCACATCAGCACCCATAATAATAGTGGGACGTTCGGACACAAACGGAACGGTGTCCTGCGCAAGATAACAATTCATTCCGCCGAGTTTGACGTTCATTTTCAGACATAAATTTACGCAATATTGTTTTTTGGCTTGCATCATATGGCGCAATTGGACGCATTGACTCGCCACACCGATTTCCGTGTCACACACGCGTTTGATCTCCGCGTAGAGTGATTCTCCAGTGGTAGGTAATATGCAAACAATCAATTGTGGTTGTGCTTGAACAGCGTTTCCGGCACGGAGCCAAGCTTGTTTCAGAACACTGTCAACATCGCCTTGTGGATTTGCATGCATTATTGGTGGAGAACGATTAGGAATGTGCTTTTTGGGGAAAATGTGCATAATTTAACATTAAATATTTGTTCAATTTCAAAAGTATAAAGGAAAAAATTATATCTTACCAGGCCTACTTCTTGACAGCTGATTACTAGTTCCCGGATGAATGCTTGAATGGATTGGATTGGGAATTCGCGTTCGGCACCAAATGCCACAAGTGACCATGCTCCAAGAGTGGCACACGTAGCTAGTTTTTTGTCACGCAAATTCCAAACACCGTCACGCGGAACACATTTCTGTTCACGCGAGGTACGGTGGTATTGTATGGTTGGTGCTGGTAAAATTCGTGCTGGAATCTTTTTAAATCGCACAAAAAGCATTTATTCAACCAGTTAAAAGCTTAAAATTCACCGATGATATCAAACCAGTTACATTTGCCATTTCATTCGAAATTTTTAGAAAAAACGGTGCCAAATATTTATTTTCACGATAATTCAAAATTTCTACGCCTTGTTTGATTTTATTTGCGCGAAGAGTGGGTGCTTGGCAAGTAAATTTGATCATGTCGGCGGTTTGTTTTTCGTTGAGTTTACGAATATGTCTTTGTCCCTAACATATTGAAAAATAATTGTTTATGAAAAAGTGAGTATAGTTAATTGCCGTATAAAGCATCTTCCTGTAACAAAGCCACTAAGAATTTTTGAGGAAATTACACCAGAAGTCTTGAATTATTCATTTTGCAAAAAATAATTGGCTTTTACTAAAAAAAAATTATGTTTAAAATTTTTGTGATTTTGATCATAATTATTGAACTATGTAACCTAGAGATAATTTTAAAAAATGAGATAAATGACTCATTGAAACTCTGTTGACTTAAAGCTTAAATAGCTTAACTCCAAGTAACCAAAAAAGTGAAGCGAAATTCAAAACCCACCTCAATCACTTCACAAACCTCAATCGGCAAATAAACATCGCGTTTAACAGCAACACACGGCAATTTAGGAAATTGCAGCGGACTATTATACGTCCGTTGAAAATACGACGCCACGTCCATTGGGCCGTGTTCAGTCTCGAATTTGGTCATATTCGCAGGAGTACTCGTAAGCTTGGCAATCTTGAACCGGCGTCGCGTGTTTTGCACCCCACGATGAATGACACGGATTTTCAGGTTCTTGATTGCTTTCTCGATTTTGATACACTCTTTTTCGTTGAGGCCGCGGCGAAGGTCGTCATGATTTCTTTTGCCGAGTAATTTTATTACCATTTGGATGAGTGGGCCACCTTCGTAGAATGCGGTAGCGCTGAGGTCAATGTTTATCATCATTTTTCCTGGTTTATTTGGTAATTTTAAATCCAAGGATAATTTTAAACCAAAATTTTTTGGAGGAATAAACAAAAAATTTACCAGGAGTAGGACGAGCCGATTGGTAGTACCCTTGCCAGACTTCAGCCCCGCCAAAAAGTGCCATTGAACCATTCGAAGTGAAAAAAGAGCGTCCGACAGTCACGTATTGCATCGACGGAAGGTGCCTAATTAAGACGTCGATTGCCATAATCGCTATTTGTTGAGACAATTAATTGCATTGTTAAAAAATTATGTACATCTATATTGGACATAAAGTTAATAAAATAAAATACCATACCAGTAAGAACACCAGACGTCATAGGCCCATTTGCACGAAGGAAATTATGCAGTTCGGTCATTACGATCTCACCAGCTTTCTTGATTTTGATTTTGAACGAACGAACGTTGCGTGTGATGCCTGTGATTTCGTCGTCATTTGGCAAAGTGACCTATTATTGAATAAATTAAAATGTGATAAACTAAACTTCGTAAAACCGAAATTGATATTCGAGAAAATAACCATTTACATCGAAAGTCGCCGTTTCGCCAAATGGAAGGATTCTTGGGGCGAAAATGTTTTTGCGGCCTAAAATGAAAAATCCAAGGGTAATTAATTCGTGATCCCAAACACGGGTTTGGAGGATAATAATACTAACGCTAATTGGCTCATAGTATATTTGAATCTAACTCAATCTAACTCATAATTAAAATGATATTTTCCAATTTTTACAGCTAGCAATTTTTATTTCTGGTTTTAAAAAAGTCGAAGCTTTACTATATACCAATAAAATAATCAAATAAATACCATCATAAACAGTCCGACAACCTCCAAGCCCGACTATAAAATTATCTTCCTCAAATTTCTCGAAAATCTTTCGGTTCAACGCGGGCGGCACATCCGGCGTAATGGTAACATCGTAATGAATGATGTTGTCGACCGGTAACTCGGTGACTTCAAAGTAGTTGGCACGAACGCGAACAGGTCGGCCAATTTTGCCTTGACCTGGTCGGAGGACGAATTCGGTGAGTTTTTGGGACATTTATTCGGGGGAATTTGGATTTTATTGAAGTTTGAGTTTTGGAAAGATAGAATTTTGTTTGCGAGAGGGAACAATGCAATGTATACAGAAGGGAAAGAGATGAAACATCTTGCTTATATATAGAATTAAGAAACTGGCGTTGGAAATCATGGCAATTCATCAGACACACTTTTTCCTGTTCTGGGAAATTTGCTAATAGCATCGGAAATCATGGCAATTCATCAGACATTTTTCTTTTTTCTGTTATCTTTGGTTCTGGGGAATTCGTTAACAGCGTAAATATGATAGTCTTTCAATTAAATATAGTTTTTAAAGCAATAAAACATAGTTTCAAACCTTTTCAACATTGAGAATGTTTGCAATTACGTATGTATAAGCATAACGTAAATGATTTACTTATGGTATTTCTTTTGATTAATAAAGCTTGGAGAATTAACACAATGAGTTCAAGTTACTAGATCATTCTTCTTGGTATACTCAACACTCAAAGTTGATCGCATACGTTTATAGGTTCAAACATTTGATGATGAAATTACGTAGCATTCATGCACTCATGCAACAATGTAAAACATGGCACACACGAATAAAAACGGAAGATGTAAAGATGCACATGCACGACCTACATATAAAAGTACGTAATGCTATCGTTATGATACGTAATCAATTACATGACGACTCTGTATTTATTGTAAAATTCTATTTTCTGACAAAACTGAAATTTAGTGTTGAATACAAAGTACTTTCTTGACAAAACCTATACACTACGTATTTATTCATGCATGCATCAAAAAATGCACAATAAGTTATACAGTATATTTAATATGATATAAGATGATGAAATAGCTAAAAAAAAAAAAAAAAGAAATCGATACACTATCGACTGATATGTAATTTACAAGTAACGCTAAATGCCAAAAAAAAACACATTGCAATAAAAGGATCGTAAAGGAACGAATGACGCTAATGATAGCATTAATGGGGATAAATAAATAGACAAATAAATAAATTAAGCAACCCAACATCACAAAAGTCGCATAGGTTTCTTTATTTCCTCTATTTTTCGTAAATTATGTTGTGCCATTTCAGCACGACGACGAATCGCCAGCCAATCATGATAAGCGTTGCGAAATCCCACACAAATGCTTTCTGCTTCCCAACCTAATTCTAGCAGGTTGATGTTTTGCACTACTATGTGATAGTTTTCGACCGTTATACCTTGGACTATCCATCGTTTGCTGTCACCTGTTTCAATCTTTTTTTCGTACGAATGGGAAATGGAGTGTCAGGCTCTATACGAAGAATCGACAGAAGGTAATGACGAATAAAAAACTTACCCAATGAAGCATTTCATCGAATCTCGCAAGTTCTGGCTGCACTATTTTCACGACAATTTCTTGCCATTGATGTTTCTCATTGTTCTCACAATTTAAATTTGTCGTAGATTGAGTTTGGTCAAGTTTCTCAAAGTATCGTCTAAAACATGGAATCTTCTTTATTAAGTTACTTTTATGCGCATAAAACACTTGTTGAAATTCTTTTTTATGAAAAAGTCCGTCGTTGTCTTTGCAATCTTTTGCATTTATATCTGCTATTATTAGTCGACAATCGGCAGGCTCAGGATTATGGCATAAGTGATTATATTTTAACGGTGATAAATGCTGTGATGATGGCGAAGTTAATGAATGTGAACGTTTTGAGGTTGTGGGATGTAAAAGTTTACAACGTGTGGTTGTCGTTGCTGTGGTTGTTGTATTGTAATGATAAGGATTGAATCTTATGGGTGTCATTTTCGTGGAAGTCTTTGTCGTCGTCGCCTTAACCAAAAAGTCTAGTGAAATGACAGCGTTTTTGGTTGCTGTTGTTAAGGATGTTTTTCTACGTTTATTAGCATTACTATTGTCATTGTTGTTGTTGCTGTTGTTGTTGTTGTTGCTGTTGTTGTTGTTGCGGTTGTTGTGATTGTGGTTGTGGTTGCTACTACTAAATTGTTCTTGCAAATTTTTCATGATACGATTTGATGACATTTCTATTAGTAGTCAATAATAAACGATTTATATAAGATGTCTAAAAGGCGGAGAAAAAGAATTTGTATTTTTTGTCGTTACTGCTGACGAGGCGGTTTTTTGTAGTTTTGTAAATAAATAGGAAGAAAGTTTATTTTTTAAAACAATTTTTTTTGGGGAGGTAGTCTTTAATCGGGAAGGAGAGTGTGTATGTTCTCTATTTAGACTCTAAGGGAATATAAAGATAAAATAAAATGCAAAGACTACAATTACAATTACAATTACTTTGATAAAATCCCTAGTTAAAAAAAATAAAGAGATCTTTTAAAGCCGAACATGCATCATTCATTAACAAGACTGTATACGCAACAATATAGATATATTATTGCGATAATTACACATATACACAGGTGGGACTGAAGATTTTATGACTTTTTAGAAGAGGAGGGAATGCATATAGTTGAAGCGATACAAAGCACGGGGTACATATTTTGCCTTACATTCGATTCCTGTTTTTTTCTTTTTTTGGCGTGAATGTAATCGATGTGATCGTAAATTTCTTTTTTGCCCCCTGTTTTAAATAAGTCAACAAAAACATCTACCATACCATACTATAAAGTCTATTTACAATAGATAATAAAACCTCTCTCACACCCATTGTTGATGATAAAAAGCAAGTAAACGCATTATCATGTAACCTCCCGCATAAAAAATTGGCAAAAAAAGTCGGCAAAAGGTGCTTGTTTTTTCGCCGTGTAAAGGTGAAGAAACGGACATTATAAATAAAAACAAACTGCAATCGATCCTTTCACTCTTTCAAATAAAGCAAAATGAAAAAGCGTGAGCGAGACGAAACAAGAAAAAAATGGACAAAGAACGATTGCCCCATTGTGCACACCACTAAACCAAATGACAGGTTTATGCTGTGCGCACGCGAGGGATACTCATTTTCACATACAGAGGCCCCTTATCCTCGACGTAGTGCAAGAGGTAATTAATAGTTATATAGTCAATGGTATGCCCTTACATATGGGTTTGTGTCCAGTATCCTGCATTGGCATACATTTGGTGTTTTGTTGTTAAAAATAAAGTTTATTAGAATGTATCTTTAGATGGTTGGCGCTTAACATGTTTCTGTCAATTGATTGATTGATTGGTTCCTTTAATGTGTGTGAACAAATACATTTAGTATGTGACAATAATAATAATAAAAATAATTATTTTTCCTTGCGCAACAAGAGATCTTTGAGTGCAGCGAAGATCTCCATATGGCACGATCATATAGTCCCATTTATTTTTTATATATGCATGTACAGTACGTACGTAGTATCAGTATGATGTACTTGATTTAGATATCGAAAAGTTAATAAATAAACGAAAATTTCTTATCGTTATACATTAATGTCGTTTTTGAAAAAAATATCGTGTGTATAATTTTTTGTTGACTTTACATAGAATCTAGGGGAAAATTAGAATTCGGCGGAAATGATTCTCCTATGGGAGTAAACTAAGGAGTTATGAGAAGGAAACAAGAATTATATTTTGCCCCTGACTTTTTTATTATGTCATTTTTAGAATTTATAGTCTTATCGTTATCAATGTTAACAATGAAAAACTATATCGATATAACAATGATAAATTTATTTAGGCAATAAATGCGACAATGCCAAAATCGTTGTAGATATTGTGTACGTATTTTTTTTGGTTATGTAACTTGGCATAGAATTATAATCGTTTTCGGTCATGACATTGTTGGAATGATACAATGCAAAACATTTTACTATTGGATTAGTGGAAAAACAAATGTTTATATATAGTGTGTGTAAGAGGGAAAAAAGGTTTGGGACGGTGAGATTACGTAAGAAATTTTTTGTCCGGGGAATTTTCCGAACTTTGTTGTTCATTTTCGAAATTTCAGGTCAAATATGGTAAATGACATCATGCAGATTTTAAAGTTTCTAATGTTATTTGTGGCCTTTAATTGAGGTCTTTTTTGATAAATAACCAGTTGTATACAGGTATATTCGCTAAACCAAATTTACTAAAACAAAAACAAACCGAAATTTTCAAAAATTTTTAGTTAATAGTCCGACCGCTTCGTTATATCGAACACCTTTTTTGATAAAAAAAAAAAAGAGGTATAACACCTCTCCAAATGAAAAATAACCGGTTAGCTCGATTTTTTCAAATTTACAATAGTACTTTACTATTATTGAACTAATGTTAAATACTATATGCTATTGACAAATCAATTTCGACAATAATAACACGCACGATTGTTTAGAATATTCACACGACACGATTCATAGAAAACTATATTCACATATTCAGGGCCCCAAATGCTAAAATTTAAAACTTTTATCACACTACAGATATTGGAGTATCACATAAAGCTTGGCATGGTATATCAATTTATACCTTCAAACTTTTATTGCTAGTTCATGTATTGTTCGAGTTCTAATTTGTAAAATTGAAATGCATGTCTAACGACAGTTAACATATATTTTTTAAATTATGGTATATTCATTCAACGCCAGGATATTATTTCGGACATTTATAACAATTCATTTTCTATTTAAAAAACAGTTAATTTCTCTTCGCATGCCAACAAAAAAAAATGACACAAAGTACTCAGTTCGAAATGACAATGCGTCGCATCGTTTTTTAATACTTCATATTTCGTTTGCTTTATTTTGATAGAATGATATTTATGGTAGCGTCAGCAACAAGGTACTATTCACGTAGTCTTTTAAACGTAAACCATAGCGAGATGAAATAACGATAATAAAATAAAATAACCTGATAACTACAGTGGTTCTCACAAGAAATGGAACATGCGATCAAAATTTTTATCCCCTTCAATATTAATTTCAACCGTTTCTAAGAAACTGAGTGATTTTCAATTCGTAAATTTCTATGAAACCCGCTTACGTCTAAATCAGCTCAAAATTCATCGAGATTTAAGATCTCAAAGGTCCGAATCTCTGCTAGGAGCATTAACAGAGATTTGGACCTTCGGGATCTTAAGTCTTAAGCCAATTTCATAAAAACTGGTATGTAGATAGATTTCGTAGAGTATAACATTTTAAATTAATGGTTCAAATTTCGTTTTCCCTTAGAAAAAAAGTTCTGTGGGTCGAAATTCACTAATTGAAAAATTTGACTTGGATCACTCGATTTCACAAAATGATTTTTAAAAAATACTAGCTTTAAGGTTTAAAATGAATACTTGTTTGAATTAATCTAAAAATTTGATCGCGTGTTCTATTTCTTGTGAAAGCCACTGGATATCAATAACAACAAGTGTAATAATTCATTCTTGGGCTACGTTTAATCGATACATGTGCAATAAAAACAAAATTTTAAGTTTCCATACGAACACTTCTAATATCATACCTTAAAAAATAGGATCTCTAGTCCAGGTATTAATAACACCACCACGATTTCATTATTCCACGACAACACACGTTCGCTCACCTCCTTCGTCACGGAACCAACCCTCTAATCCGAGTGAAAAGAAGAAATACGCGAGATGTCGTGTGATCGATTATGAAAGGTTTCTAGGATTGGAATTTTGCTATTTTCTCGATAACAAATGCTTGCTAAGAAATCAAATAGTCTAATTATCAAAATATGCAAAACACGTTTTTTATTCACGTGTCCCAATAGATAATACATGTACGTAGCTTATCGTTATCAAGTTGTTTCATTACCGTTACGTATACCATATGCAATGTCTTGTTTTTAGATTTGGATGTGACACCAAAAATACATGATTGCATAAATTACACATAATTGTCCAAAAGTTCCATGTTGTGTGCACTTTTATCATTTCGGAATGTTCTAACATGTGTTTTAATTTTAGTTTCAAAGACTACAAATATTTTTTTTCTCTTTACATCCGACCATAACACATAATTTTTGTATTTTCAATCTATTCCAAATTCATACATTAATCAATCAATCAATCAATCAATCAATCAATCAATCAATAACATCAAATAAAATAACGATAAACCGACAAAAATGGCATCAACAGCGCCACCAGAAATCCTACAAGAAATATTTCTCCAGTTAACGTACAACGCAGCCGGCAACTTTTACACATCCGATCTTCACTCTTGCATTCTGGTGAACCGACAATGGTGTTCATCAGCGATAGCGCTTCTCTGGTCGGAACCGTTCGAATCATCCACCATACTAAAAAACAAACACTTCGAATCATTTATCGAGGTGTACCTTCTCTTTCTGCCGTTGGCAACACTTTCAGAGTTTTTGCCGCAGGCTTTTCTACGTCGATATCGAAAGCATCCACCGCCGAAATTCGAGTATCCGCATTTCGCGAAACATATTAATTTCGATGGAATGTATAAGACGGTGGATAAATGGTGCCGAAAGTATTACTTATCGGTCGTGTATACGGAGAAAATTTATTGGGCCTTGTTTGAAGTTATGCGACGGTCGGGAGCGTGTGTCGCGGCACTGACTTGTCATGTGTCTGCACACCCAAGAGATGTGCCTCAGTTTTTGTTGAAAAGTGACGATGGTTTCCAGGAGTGGCTGGCTTCGGTTCGGACGTGTTGTTTGGTGTGTGATACTAGATCACAGACAGCGATGTTGTTTGATGCGTTGCCAGAATTATCAGTTTGCGTGGTAAGTTATCTTTTGAATGGATTTTCAAATCAGATTCATAAGTTTACTTTCCATGTTTTCAATTAATCTTATTATTCGTATTACCACAAATGGCAAATAGGAAGTACTACACCTAATAATGTACGATCCAGAGGTACACAGCAATCGAACCCTCTTTCCAAAGCACATGGCTCGATTTCGACGTCTTCAAAAACTCACGCTACATCGCCTCTCCAAAGAATGCGAAGTCTACCTAACTGCTTACCACTACAAATATGAGTGGGATTTCTTTCTCGAAATTGCCAATCTTCGCCTGGTCGCCAACATTCATCTACCCAAAGAATTACTATTTTCCGATAAACTTGTCGAAGTCGTGTTTCGTCATTGTCAAGGATTTAGTCGCGCTGCTGTGCAGAAGGTTCTCGTCACATCGTTTCCAAAGTTGCGGAAGGTCACAGTAGTCGATTGTGAGGATGCATGTCAGGAATTTGTTAGATGGGCAGCTGGGATTAATCAGCGTGCTGAATCGTCGAATGATGCAGGAGCTAAATAGAATGTGATGGTGAAAAGTTGAAAAAAAAAGCAAAGGAGAAACAAGAGATTTTGAAAAAAATTGTGTTAAATTTAAAAAGTTATTTAATATATAACATCATCCCTTAAACCGATTTACTCGTAAATACAACACTATTCACTCGACACACTAGATATTGGCCTAGATTCAAAAGATTAGATGGCGGGGATTCTGATAGAGCAAATAAACTTGTTTGATGAATACTAAGTCAAACACTACGTAATTATAGTAAAACCGCTAATTTAAATAAACCTATATTTTAAAAATTTCTACAATAGTCTGTTTATCGAATTTGATATTGTAATAATGTTGACTACATTTACCGTTACTTAACCGTAAAGCTCTGTATCCTTGTAGAAAAATTTAAACTTAATTAGTCCAATTTGTTTTTCTGCAAACTGAATAATTCAAAATTTCTTTGAAAATTATGTTACAACTCTCGTTATACTCTCGATATAGTGAAGGGGGGGTTAGAATCATTAATAAAGTTATATACGTAATTCCCTTACCCCGATGTCTTCATTATAACGAGAGTGAGTTATACTAAAATAATAGTTTGAGGTTAAATTAAAATCTAAATTTCTACAAAAGGGGATACTATAGTAAGCCACCTTTTAAAGGTTTTTTCCAGTTTACATGTATTAACATCAATGATTCTTTTAGAACTAGTCGGAAGAATCGAATCCTAAATCCTCGTCTCAATTACAATATAATGACTGAAGCGTCACTATATAATGATTTTATAAATAAAATATTGATAAAGTGATATTGTATATCTCGATATACCCTTATTTATGTACTGGATTTTATACACTGGCCTGCCAAAAGTATTCAATGATCAGAATTCGACATCTCGATAAGTAAATTTTTCTTTGATTGAACGGACACTTTACTATAAGAAATCAACTGGACTTTTTTATTTAAAAGCTCTAATTCTCAGCTTTAAGAAACTATATTTTTACTCTTAAAAAAATTAATATAAGAAATTTGATATATTAACCTCGATGCGATTTAGAGTGGGTCATCATAAAGATCCGGTCACTTACAGACCATTAAATTTGACAACTCAAAAACAGGATTGTAAACAAATAATATATAAAAATAAAGTTTAAATACAGTCGACTCTTTCTATAACGAACCTTGAATTTTTAAATGTTATATTAAAGAGTAGTGGACTTTATAGAAAACATGATGATTTTATATAACGAACTTGTTTTACTAACAGAACCGTCAGTTCGTTATAGAGAGAGTTGACTGTATTAACTTCTAAAGTTAATGCTTTGTATGATATTCATTTGCAATAACCGTGGCAATTCGGGCATAAACTTTCGATAGTATTCGAGGGCAAGATCTTTCCAAGCCACTTTCACTTGTTTTTTGAGTTCTGTGAGAATAGACGGTGCAGGAGATCGTTGACGAACAGCGTCTTTCACTAAATTTTCTATGGGGTTCAAATCGGGACTTTGTGGAGGCTAAAATAATGTCTTGATGCCAGAAGCTTCGCGAACGGCTGTTGCAACCTTTGTTGCATTGTCTTCCTGAAACATACTATCACCACATGGGAAAGACTTGTGTATGGTTGGATCCTTTTCTATTTTGAGTATCTAGAACTAAAAATTAATTACCACAAAATGCAAAATATTCTGGCCGGACCTTTTTGAACCCACTTATTACATCAATGTCACTAATTAATGTCTCACTTTAACGACATCATTCTTAAATCCTTACTATATATCCCGACCCATCGTTAAATCGAGATCTGACTGTATACGTATACAGTTAGGGTTCAATTTACTGATGAGTTGGTAATCAATTTATTTTATTAAAGCGTGACCACGCAGTGAGTTTTTATCAGCATAAATAAAATTACACTTTCAAATAACGAAAATGATAATAAATTGCTATTACTATGCTTTAATTTATCATTTTATGTACTGGCATCATTAATATTTCACACTATCGCTATTGTTATAATGTTGCTTATATAGCTATGATTGGCATGATAGTATTTTATTATTATTATTATTATTATTATTTATATAGCTGTCAAAACTGGAGATAACGAAGATGGCCGGATAATTAGTAAAAATTTTTGGATCTTCGTTATATAAAGATTTACTATACTTTTTATAGCGAACTATTGAGTTATTGCAAATTCAAACTACGTTATATCGAGGTTTTAATTACACTTCATTATAACCAGAGTTATGTGAACTAAAGCTAAATACATAATTATATATAAAACTATAATAATACTATGTAATTATTCTTATTGTATTAAAAATAGAAGGCATAACTAGCCATCATAGATTGTCTGAACTATATAGAGTTCATGTAGTCTATTAAATTATCACTTAATATTTTTAATCTAATAGACTTTGTATATATATTGTTGTTTCTGATTATTGTAATACAAATATACTTGGAATATAATGCTAACAATATGTAATAATGAAGGGTTTCTTCACTTTCAGTATCAATAGTCATATAAGAATGTGGAAGAGAGCAAATTAGATAAAATGAAATTAGTAAAAGCAAAGAGAGATATCTAATGTCTGTGCCAATTTCTATGGAAATTGTTAAAAAATCTCAAAGAGATAAAAAATTTGAAAGAGTGAAATAACTTGAAAAAATTATACTAATCAATGAAATATTGATTGCAGAACTATTATATTCACATTCACCAATATTAAACAAAAATACTAATACTAATCAAAATAACAAAAATACTAATAAATTAATGAATGCACTTATTTAAAGTTAAATCACT